GCCCCGGTTACCGGCCTGGGCCGGGCCCGGCCGGGCGGCGGTGCTGGTTGTCCGTTTCCCCGGTGCTGGGGGTCCCCCCTCCAGCTGCCCGGGCAGCGGGGCCCGGCCTGGAGGAGCGGCTCTTCCAGCAGGTGCGGGACCACTTCAGCTTCGAGACCTGTGGCAACGAGACCTTCCCGCAGCGGTACCTGGTCTCAGGTAGGTGCCGGGAGGTGTGCTGCGGCCGAGCTGCTCCGGCCCGGGCATGGCCGTGGCAGGGCCTTGCTATGGCTCAGGGCTGAATTTCTGTCTGCCTAAGCTTTAACCGCTCCTGCACTGAGGCAGTGCAGAGCACCTCTCCATTTGGTGCTCAGGGAGCTGTGCTGAGCAGCCAGGAGTCAGTTTGAGCTGAGTGACAGCCCTTCGTGAGCCAGTCGTTCCCCCCAGCATTGTCCATATCCTACTCCCCTTCGATTTGTCATTCTGGCTGTGAGGTGCGGGGTGCCAGTCTGGGAACTGGCCTCTCTGGAGCAAGAGCAGACCAGAAGCAGCAGCTGCGTTAGGCTTGCACCAGGGCTGGCTCTGTGCATGTGTGTCTTCAGTGAGCAATTAGACTAGAATAGAATAGAATTGTTCAGTTGGAAGGGACCTACAATGATCATCTAGTCCAACTGCCTGACCAATTCAGGGCTGACCAAGTTAAATCATGTTAAGGGCATTGTCCAAATGCCTCTTAAACACTGACAGGCTTGGGGCATCGACCACCTCTCCAGGAAGCCTGTTCCAGTGTTTGACCATCCTCTTGGTAAAGAAATGCTTCCTAATGTCCAGTCTAAACCTCCCCTAATGCAGCTTTGAACCATTCCCATGCGTCCTGTCACTGGATACCAGGGAGAAGAGATCAGCACCTCCCTCTCCACGTCCCCTCCTCAGGAAGCTGTAGAGAGCGATGAGGTCGCCCCTCAGCCTCCTTTTCTCCAAACTAGACAAGCCCAAAGTCCTCAGCTGTTCCTCAGAGGACATGCCTTCCAGCCCTTCACCAGCTTTGTTGCCTGCCTCTGGATGCATTCAAAGGACCTTCACATCCTTCTTACCTGGTGGGGCCCAGAACTGCACACAGTGCTCCAGGTGAGGCTGCACCAATGCTGAATACAGCGGGATAATCACCTCTTTTCACCAACTGGTTATACTGTGTTTGATGCCCCCCAGAATGCGGTTTGCAGTCTGGGCTGCCTGGGCACACTGCTGGCTCACACTGAGCCTGCTGTCGAGCAGCACCCCCAGATCCCTTTCTGCAGGGCCGCTCCCCAGCCACTCCTCTCCCCGTTTGGACTTGTGCCTGGCATACTTGTGCACAGCATCTCTTACAAGTGCAACTCAGTGCTCTGAATGCAGCAGGAAAAGCAAATAGTGACCCAAATGTTGCACTCTGTACCCATCATTCTTACAAGTGAAGGCAACTCCTCTTGGGTCGGTGTTTTGCGTTATTTAAAACCCTGCAACCTTAGATAGCTTAAGCCGTGCTGAACAATGAGGGCTTCCAGCGAGGAGCCAGCAGTGTCTTCCTTTCTAGCCAAATAATGAGTTATCTTTGTGCAACAGGCAGTAAGAGAGAGGAGGCTTTTCTAAACAGTGTGTGACTAAAAAGACAGCAATTTCAGCAACCAGTGTCACAGGTTTTTCAATCCTGCCTGCTTGGAGGAATCGGGGAAAGATTTAGAGGGAGAGAACAAAGGTGGAGCTGTGAACAGCACCAGCCCAGAGTGCTGCCTGGAGGCAGCGCTGCCCAGCCTGGGGCCTGCTGCTGCCTCACAGGCTGCCTGCATATGGGGCTTCGTATGCAGCATCTCACCGTCTTCATGTCGTCTGTTACTCTGCAGCTTGTTCAGCACCTGCACCCAGTCATATATGTTTCACCAAGCATGAATTCATGGATCAGTTCAGCCCAAGGATACAGGAACACCACCAGTGAATTTTGATAGCACACCCAAGGCTGAAATTTCACTAATTAAGAGGCCCTTTTTGAACAGCACTTTGGGATCACCTGGTTTAAAGCATTGCATAACTTCTATTTGTTTTCTTTTTAAAGTGTTATGTTTCAGGCAGAGCTGAATAATATTTGTGAGAAACAAAATATTAACATTGCAGTTCTGCTGGTTTACAAATAGTTTCTTACTCAAAATTCCTGTGAGTAGTTCCTTTCCCCTCTACTGCTTCTTGTGCAATACGAGACGTTTCAGATTATCAGCGAGAACTTGAAGGAGACTATTATGTCACAACCAGGCATCTGACTGTCTTGAGGTTAGCTGGCAGTTCCCCAGGATTTCAATCTAAAAATAAACACCTCTTTAAGCAACCTGTCTGGTTTGGTTTTGGCTCCCATGAATGGCTGTTTACTCCAGGAGCCACGAAGCGTATCAGAAGAAAAGCCAGAGTAAAGATAGCACTTCAGTTTCCTATCTGATACCCAAAGCAAACGCAACACAGAAAGAGAATCAGCCTCTTCGTTAACAAAGAGTAGCAGTTTCGCTAACTAAAGGTTTCAAACCCATTTCCAAGCCAAATCCTGCTTTGGGAAGTCTGTGTTGAGAATGCCAAGAATTAAATTCAGGCCATTCTGTTAATGGAAACGGCCTCATGTGTCACGTTGCAGCGGCGCCCATGGGACAACCGCTGTTGGAGTGATGTGGCAATGTGTTGAAATCAACACTTAACTGATGGTCTGAGGTCTGAGCTATTTATTATCCCTCTTAATTCCTGTGCAATTTAAGACTAAGTTAAAATCAAATGTTTGTTGAAGTCAGCAGGCATTAAAGCAACTGTGTGTTAGACAAGCAAGTATTGACATCATGGGTCAGCTTGTCCTGCCAGTCTCAATTTGCCTTCAGCTGTAAACAGATGAGAGGATGAAGCACATCGTCTTCGTATATCATCACATATATATAATATATCATATGAGAGAGAGATATATATGTGTGTGTGTTACATATATAACATATACCAGCAGCATATCCTGGGCTGCATCACAAGCAGCATGGCCAGCAGGTCGAGGGAGATGATTCTGCCCCTCTACCCTGCTCTGGTGAGACCCCCCCTGGAGCACTGCGTCCAGCTCTGGGGTCCCCTGTGCAAGAAAGGCATGGACCTGTCAGCACGGGTCCAGAGGAGGGCCATGAAAATGGTCAGAGGGCTGGAACACCTCTGCTATGGAGAGAGGCTGGGGGGGTTGGGGGTGTTCAGCCCGGAGAAGAGAAGGCTCCAGGGAGACCTTATTGCGGCCTTTCAATATATAAAGGGAGCTTATAAGAAAGATGGAGAGAGACTTTTTACCAGGGCCTGCAGTGACAGGACAAGGGGCAAGGGTTTTAAACTGAAAGAGGGTCGATTTGGATTGGACATAAGGAAGAAATGTTTTATTGTGAGGATGGTGAGATACTGGACCATGTTGCCCAGAGAAGCTGTGGATGCCCCATCCCTGGAAGTGTTCGAAGTGAGGCTGGACGGGGCTTTGAGCAACCTGATCTAGTGGAAGATGTCCCTGCCTGCGGAAGGGGGGTTGAACTGGATGATCTTTGAAGGTCCCTTCCTACCCAAACAGTTCTATGATATGTGATTTACAGCTTGGCTCCACGTTACCATCACAACAGGAGCAGCAGAAAGATGCAGGCGATTCCCTAACATCTGTTTTGTGGGAAAAGTGATCTGTGCAAATGTTTTGGGATGAGTTGGGCTGAAAAGGGTATATAAATGGGAAATCGCTGTTTTGGGGGGCTGCTGTTTCCAAATGCCTTGCAGAACTGAGATTTTAGGGATTTTCAGGCAGAATTGGAAGTTCCAGGCCATGCGCTGATCTCATGGAAGCTCTTATTTACCCCCGCTCAAATGAGAGATTTCTGTAGGCTGGCCTTTCTAACACCTTTATTCCCCAGCTCAGGCTCAGGGATCAGCCTGTTCACAGAATTCTTCCTTGTTAAGCTCCTGCCCAAACTCACCAAAAGTAGAGTCATTTCATGCTCATGTTTTTTGAGTTTTTTTAATTTGCTTCTGTCAATTGTCTCACTCAGCAAAGTTCTGGAAGAAAGGATTTGGACCCATCTTTTTCTATACTGGCAATGAAGGTGACATCTGGACTTTTGCTCAGAACTCTGACTTCATATTTGAATTAGCAGAGGAAGAGCAAGCACTTGTGATTTTTGCTGAGCATGTGAGTATTTTAGTCATTATGCATAGTGAGTATTTCGGTCATTATGCATACTATAGAGTCTTGTTCTGTTCAGTATTACTGAATTCAGCTTTCTACAGGTCCAGAAAAATAATATCATCTCTTGCCATGAAGCTGAGGTATACCTGCTGTAAGCTTTCTCCTCATGGTGGCAGATCTTCTTTACTTAACCATGGCTTTTGAATTTTTTTTTACTATGCCTACCAGCAACCCAGGATACAGACTACTGTTTCAGTAAAACCTACGCCATCGTGTATTTGCTTTAGACCAGTGCTTTTGTACATAGTTTCCACAGGCCTTGAACTCCACACTGGACTAGAGAGGTATTTTGTTTGTATAATATTTAATCTCTCTAGCCTGTGAAGTCCCAAGCCAACCTTTCCCTAGGCACACCATTCTATTAAATCTACCATTCCACAACTTATGCATGAAGAGATTACCCTGTTCCCTTTTCTAGTTGGGGATTTCAGGGGAGAGATGCATGCTGAGCGCCCACTTGGCACCCACTGAAGTAGCTCATCATGGACTGTCCATCCTCTACAGGATACATCCTGAAGGTCTCTGTTTATCAGATGCAGGAGACAAGGCACTTCCTCAGTTATGAAGAAGTTAGAGGACACCACGTGCTCTGTTATCGCTTCCCGTTTGTGCACGCTCATCCCAGTTCTATAGTGAGAACAGAGAAGACCCAGACCTTGACACCAGCACTTCCTCAGCATATCTCTTTCCTTTCAGAGGTACTATGGGAAGTCTCTTCCATTTGGACTTGAGTCAACACAGCTGAAGAAGACTGGTCTGCTTACTGTGGAACAAGCCCTCGCTGACTATGCAGTGCTAATTACTGAGCTTAAGCAGCAGTACGGTGCTGCAGACTGCCCTGTCATTGCTTTTGGAGGCAGGTAAAGGTTGTGTGTGCTCCTTCCCTTCTCTGCATCCTTTCCCAGCCACAGTCATGCTGTTCTCATAGATCTGTTTGGCTCCCAAGCAGTTCTAAAGGCAGAGCTTTAAGCTGTCCGATAGAGAGCAGATGTGCCCGTGCCTGAGCTCCCAGGAGCTCATCACCAGGTCTCAATCAGCTCTCCCATCAAGAATTAGTCTCGATTTGTGATTGCTTTGGAGAAGCACCACTGACTGGATGTTTCTAGGCATCTTCAATGTATGAGTCAGCCAGAACTGCAGAAAATGGGAAATTCCTCCTACAAGATAAGAACATTTTACATTGGAAATACAGAAAACTAGTAATTGGTAAAATATTCTTTCCAGGGGCCACCCAGCTTTTATTAAACACAGCCTCTTTAACAACATCCAGCCATTTTCATTGTAGGCTCCTTTATAATTCTGCTCTGCAACCTGCTGCTTCGTTGCTCCTCGCTTCCTAGCAGAAGTCCTTCCCCAAAGTGCTTGCTCCATTGCAGCTGTGTTGATGCAATGTCCTTGTCTCTTGAATGGCTCTCCACTTTGTAGTAGAGGGATGCTTCCCTTTAAAAGGCTTCCACCAAGTACAGGGCTTCTAATTCAGTTGCAGAGCTAACAAGCATTTGACCTGACAGTTATCATTAAACTTCCAGGTCACTGTGGTGGTGGCTGGACTGTTGATCTCAGGGCTGTTTGTACTGGGACTATCAGGGACTATCAGTAGAAAGGGCCAGGAGCTGTTCTGGGGTGGGGAGGTGGGAGAGGGATTCAGCAAGACCTGCTAGCTGGGCTGCATGTTAGACTACAGCTCCGTGTGTAAATCAGAGTTCAGTCTGCAGCAGCCCTGAACAGCACTAAACCCATGTGAAGAATACTGAAATAGGGCAGTGTTGGAGCAGCGCAGCATTTCCCATGGGAGAAAAAAACCCCTCTCTGTTGCTTATAACTTCGCCAAACTTCAACCTGAAATTACGTGTGGCAGGTTTCAGCTGATGCCTGTTTCCAAGACCAGGGTTAGAGAAATGCATATTGCTTTACACATGGGTGATGTGGGAATGGTATTTACTCCAGCCACTTGAGATGGTGGCGAGGGAGACTTGAATACCTGTAAGCTTGGAGTTAGACCAGGTGTTACTTGCATTTTGGGGATGTCATTTGCCACCACCAGGAGTGACCTCAGAGTAACTCCACAAACATCGGCATATGAATAACTTTTGTCGCCTTGGGTTTATCTAGCAACCCTTGATATATCTGCAGATAGTGGCCCTGGCACTGAAGCTACCAAGGTGGCTTTGAGTTTTATTGTGGTATTTGTTAATATCTCCCCTTCCCTATATCTGTGCTGATCATCTATGCAGCTGTTATTTGGGATGCCCAGGGAGAACACTCTCCACTTCCCAGCACTAGAGAGGGCTGCATATTCTGTAGTGTTCAGGGACACCCTTTGCTAAGAGCCTAGCTAGTCTTTATAATCCTGTATGCAAAATGTGTCTCCTTCCCCCATTGAACAGTGATGGCTTCACTTGAGCCCCACTTGGTTCTGCACTGAAGCTGTCAGGACACACTCAGGATGGTGCAGAGGTAAATATGGAGGCAGGATTTACATTTGGCTGCAGAAGAAAACTGGGCTGCTGTGTTCCCACCGGAGCTGGTGTGAGCGTTTGGGGAAAGGCCAGTAAGAACACATTGTGTGCTGCTCATTGACCATAACTGGATCTTTTTACATGAGGATGGCATCTACTGGATATCCATAAGCTTCTTGTCGCCTTGGGTTAGGTGAGCCTGTGACTGCTGGCCTGAGCTGTTGAGTTACTATGTTATCAGCTGTCTGTTAAAGGAAATAACTCTTTTGTTTCTCCTGTGGCAGCTATGGAGGAATGCTGAGTGCTTACATGAGGATGAAATACCCAAACATTGTGGCCGGAGCATTAGCTGCCAGTGCTCCTCTGCTGTCTGTGGCTGGGCTTGGAGACCCCACCCAGTTCTTCAGAGATGTAACAGCAGTAAGTAGCATCTCTTTTCAGGAGCATTATTTTCTTCCTTTAAGAAGGCTGGACTTTTTTCCTTTTCCATGTGTTTAAACAGACATCTGTCTTCACAGCGTCAGTGCTGGGCAGAAAATGCAATTAAATGGGAACCTGCAAGGAAAAGCAGCAGCTGCAGATGTGGTGGCTGAGCACTGCCTTAGCTGTGGCAGCTCAGGGCCCAAAGGTGCTGCTCTCATGAGCAGCACAACTTGGTTCCAGCACCTTTAGTACCACTAAGGATTCACTTTCCCATTCCTAGTGACTTGACCATATTACAGCCTGAAAGTTTTCCTTTGTGCCTGGCTGAACCCCCTTTGGATAATTTAATCTTCAAATCCTCTCCCAAAATGCTGTATTTTGCATTGATATCAATGATTCACAGCAGGTCCTTCGTCCCAAGATGGTTGCATTTCAATGAAGAGCTTGGAGATCTTCATTTCACTAACTAAAAATATGCAAGGTGTCCTGGGTTCACTTAAAAGCAAAATTTAAATGTGGCTTTCACATTTTGAGGACATAGGACCCAAAGGAAGGTGGTATTGCTTAGAACTGACTTACATTTAATTTATAAGGAAAGAAATGCACTACCTGGTAGTACTGAAATCTTGTGATGGTATCTGTTTTGCCTCTTTTTCCACACAAATTTCTAGATCTGGGTGACACAGATGGCTTTGCATGAGCTACCTGTGTATGAAACCTGTGGTCTTTTTGCTCTTGTTTACATATATGAAAACCTTATTTCAATGCAGAGACTTACAGGACAGATAGCATTACCAGTAAGTGTAAAGAAGAGACTATCAGATGAAAATAAACACAATAGCATTTGAAACTCTTAAGTGTATAAGAGAATAAAAGACATCTTGTCTTAAAATTACACATTATAAAACAAAAAACATAATACCACTTAGTCATCTAACAGGCCTTAGAGTGGGAATTATTCCCTGGTTGAAGCTAATTCCTTCTCAGAAGCCCTGTTCAGCTAATAGCTCTTTCTTGATTCAGCTGTGAATATGCAGTGAGTCATTACACACCCCTGAAATTAGGGCTTTGACCTTTTTATGTGAGAAAACTTTCCAATTCACTTTAAAATATATTCTCTCTGCAGCGGTAAGCCGACCTCTGGGCTGAGATCCTAAGCAAGCACTTTGTGTTGTTTTCAAAGTAATTCCTTCCACCTTCAGTGTGTTTGCATAAAAGCAATCTGTGCATCTGAAATCTGAATTCAATTGCTCTTCTTAGTGAGAGAACACCCCTGAGAGCTGTTAATACTAATGAAAGCACAAACCTTTCATGAATCATTGCTGGAGCTCTCTCTTCCCGTGAGTCAGAGTACGTTGTCTCAAAGCAGCTTTCTTTGTGACTTTTACTGAGCTTTTCCAGGTTGCTTCATAAGCCTCCAGCTCACGGGGGAAGTGAGCAAAGGGCAGAAAGTTGGTTTTGCATAAGGCATTTGCATAAGACTAGGTTATATGTGCCAACTGCCCTGCCTGCAGCCGGGCAGAAAGCCCCTGTGTGAATACTACGCATACGGTCATGTGCTGCTTCCCGTAAGGTTACTGCTGCAGGGGCTGTTCAGGCCGTCAGCTTGGGTCACCTGAATTAGGTGTGATTCAAAAGAGTAAAGCTGGCAGCCTGGAGGGGGAACAGCTTTCCTTGGAGTGGCTGTAATGCCTCCTGCCTCTGCTTCTGCGACAGCTCAGCTGAACTGTTCCCAGCTCCGTAAGGGTCTGCTGGGGAGAACTGGAATGGGTGGTGGTTCCTTAGCGTGCCACGCAGTGCGCTGCAGCAGTCCAGCATTGCTTAGTGGGGAGCTCAGCCGCCACAGCAGCCAGAGCAGACCTGCTTCTCTGTCCCAGGCCGATCCGTCCCCACATTAGAGCCATTAGTAGATGAAGATCAATAAGCACATCCAGAAGGAGATTTAGAACCCCTAAAGGGATGCCCAGGTAAACTGTGGAAAACCCTGTAGTGATTTCTCTAAGCATAACTATCAGACAAAGGCAGAGTTAGGAATAAAAGAAAGGTCCCAAATCTACTTTTAGTTGAGGCTGGGTCTTTGTAAGAAAAATGCTCAGCTAGTGATTTGTGGTTACTTAACCATTCCTCTAGCAGGGTAAAGGGACCTTAAAAGAGCCCTAATAGTTCTTATTGTTACAAAACACTGGTTGCCAGCAGATCTCAAGCTGACAGAAGAGAAACAGTTCGGGTTGCTAGAGCCTTCAGTGACAGAAACAACTTGTTCCACCAGCATAACAAGGCACAGCTCTTCAAACATACCTTAAAGTGCTTTTTCAGGATCAGAAATGTTTTTCCCAAGAAAAAGGACATGGCCTTCTTGGTCATTTGGCAAGTCACTGGCAGGCTTAAGAAGAAAAGCAGGTCTTGGCACCCTCTTCCCATGTGTCTTGCCCATGGCTGAGGCACGAGTCTCCTCTCACTGCTTCGTGTTCAGTAATGGCTCCGTTAAGTGTAAAGTCTTTTGTCTAACAGCTTGTCCCAGCAAGACCTGGTGAAACAGTTGCTGCTTGGTCTGAGCTGTGCAGACTGTTGGCTTCTGCTGGGACGTGCTGATTGTCTGGAGGACAAGACAGAAGCACCGGTGTCGTGGTTCCTGGAGATGTAGATGAGGTTCTGACCAGTGGGTCACTAACCTCTGTCATCTCCTGGTACTTCTGGCAGTTCTTCCCAGTGCAGCCTCCACAGGTATCTCCTCTGTGCAACCGTAATCCTGTGTCTTTTCTCTCCCTTCAGGATTTTCAGAAGTCCAGCCCAGGCTGCGTCACAGCCGTCCGCAAAGCCTTCCAGCAGATTAAGGATCTGTGCCTGAGTGGAGGTAAGGAGAGGTGGCCCTGCAGATGGCTTCCCAAGGGCAGCCTCACGCAGTCCCAGCCGTGTGGAAAAAAGTTGATTCAGTTTTACTTCAGCTAGGTCTTCAATTGGTTCAGCTAAACCAATGCAAATGCCCACCTGGCTGTCTCTTTCTGCTTGCATGATTGATTTTTGATTTAATGAACAGTTTCAGTTAGCATTAAAATTAGTAACCAAAATGAAAGCATCTATGTGGGGGCTTGCACAGTGTTAATGAAACTGTCTTTTCTGCATCAAAGTGCAAAAACACCTGCAGGTGCAAAACACCTGCATTTTATGCTGGTAAAACCTTGTGTTTCACCAGATACTTGTCCTCAACACCCACACTGTTGAGAACTGTTCAGGTGGGTGTGACAACTGCGTGGCTCAGCTCACTGGACATATCTGACAAATGTTCGGAAGGCAATCTGGGTCTTGAAGCAGCCGTTGCCGTCTCTTTCATCTCCAGCCTTGGACAGTTAGGTGAAGCCAAGGACAGACACTGGTGAAGATCTCTGCAATGTCTCCCAAGTAGGCCAGAGCAGATATCGTGGGCCAATGCAGCATCTCCTGGGAGCCCTGCGTGGTGTTGGAACAGCTGTAGTGGGTTCTTGGTCTGTCTCAAGGCTTGGCTTGGTCTGTGGTGCTGCACATCAAGGGCTGTGTGCCTCCGACGGCTGCTGTCGCTGCCTTGCTGCAGGACCTGGTCCTGGAATTGCCCAGAGGAGCCGGGGGTCCAAAACCACATTTAGCTTTGGATCACAGCAGGAAAAATGTTACCATTAAATAGCCATGGTCCTCGAGGTCTGCCTGGGGCCACACTTACTGCAGTGGGGAATGTAAGGTGGTCATATTTAAGGTTTAGGCTCTCAAGTGAGTATCCAGAGGCAGGTCGCAGGCCTTGGGTTTCCAAGTAAAGACAGACGGGCTCTGGTGGGCATCTTGTAGACTATGAAGGGGACAGACAGGAACTGCGACTCTAAAACGTGGAGGATGAAAATGAAAGGAGCAGCTTTCCCCAGCAGAAATGCAAAGGTATATGAGTGCATCTTGAAGCAATCTCTTCAAAGACGGATTTCTTGACGCCAGCTGACCTCTCTGCATCACACTGAAGTTTGAAGGCACTTCTCAGGAGTTCATTGTGAGGACTGTTCTCACTTGGCAGTTCTTACTGCAAATGCACAGAGCTCCCAAGGAGCTCTTCCCCCCCCCGACAGTTCTTCCAGCTGTTGAATACCACTGGGACCTGTACGCTGTACCCTGCTCTCCTGCATGAGAGCTTGCCTGGGGAGACTGCCCTGCAGGGCACAGCAGACCCTGGGGAGGGAGCCTGTGCTCTTCTCACTGTGCCAGCCGGGACTGCTTCTGTCTCACTGGGTGCTGATTCCTCTGGGCTCCCCAGGGAGGTGTCGGTGGCTCCGCGAGGGGCACAGCGCGGGCTGTGGGCCACGCGGGGTCGTGAAGCTGCACAGGAAGGCTGTGCCTGAACATCCACGTGTCTGTAAATTTAGACATAATGTGTCCTTCCCACTAGAAACCTCCTCTGTGAGTTACGGCATCGCCTTATTCCTGAATGAAACAAGATGCTGAAGCCTGGTATTATTTTCATCTATTGAAGTTTGTGCCTTTCATTTTCCTTCCTTCTGCAGGCTATGATGAAATCAGCAGCAAAATGGCCACATGCAATAAGATCTCTAACAAGGAGGATGTTTACCAGCTTTTTGGGTTTGCTAGGAATGCCTTCACCATGATGGCCATGATGGACTACCCTTACAAAACCGATTTCATGGGTCACCTCCCTGCCAATCCAGTGAAGGTGAGTACCAGGACGTGGGTCAGAGTTGTGGTTTCTGATGAGCACCTCGGTGACCGGAGCGCAGGGGGCTGCCCAGCCTGGGACACTGTCAGGCACACACCATCAGTGATGGTGACGGGGAGGTAGTGGTGGATGTTGCAGCCATTTACTCCGACAGTAAATCTACACATTTTAAACTTCTCTGTCATGGTGACTGCTGTGTTTGAAATGCACCGCCGTAAGGCTCGTCGGGGAGAGTTTGCTGGAGCCACTGCTACCCTGCTCTGCCTTCACCTTAGACACAAAGGCCTGTGCAAGCTTGTTGACTTCAGCTTTTAAACACTAAAAACCCATAGCTTTTAAAAAAAAATGTAATTTTGTTGTAGCCCACTTCAACACACTTTCATAGATGTATTCTTCTTGGTGGGTAAGGATGGAGATCTAAAAATCAGGCTCCTTTCTAAGTATCACCCAGGAAGATGACATACCTCAGAGTATAGCGCAGAGAAAAGTCTGCTGCTGTGAGAACTGGAAAACCTGTAAACTTTGAAGAGAGCTGGAGATGGCAAAGGGTGGGAAAGGGGCTGGTTCTCAGGGGGTTACAAAGACTTCTCAGACACCAGCAGCTTTTGAAAGGTCCTAGCTTTGATCCCAGATCACCAGTTGCTGTTGCAATTCTTGGTTTCTTCTGGTGTGCTGTCAGCTTCTCTGCTGCACTCCAGCACACCATGCCGATGGGACTTTATTTGCCTCTGGCCTTGTGGCATTTATGGTTCGAGTCCTACCTGGAGCAAAAGGCATACTGTGCCAGAGGTCATACAGGCTACGCTGTACTGGGACTCAGGAGATGCTGTCTCTGGCTCCGCTTGGCATCCAGTTCCCTTCTAGGGTCTGTTTAACAACCTGTAAAATGGAAATAATTATTCTACCCCCCCTTGAGAAGGGCATTAAAATGTTCTGATTGTAGGAGGAAGGAACTGTGGTGTATCACTGTGGCCTCTGCACAGCTGCTTAACTTGGTAAAGGAACTGTTTGTCCTAGCCCTGTCTCCTTGTTTCTATGTATTTTGTTGCTAGAAGGGAGAAAAAAAAACCCCAAACCCCTTGCATTA